CACCAAATTTTCATCATTTTGTTTTTTGCTGTCAAATTAGCAATAATATTGGAAAGGATTAGGAATGAGGAAAATGAATAATATATCTACGAGAAAGTATTCATGGCAAATAATCGATATATTTATTTATTTCATTTCTGTACAAACTCGATAGTTTATTTTTGAGGAATTTCGAAATTATTCGATGATATTAGTAACATAATAATAGAATTTACTAATATTGGACAAATTTCAAAAATTTAAATATGCTGATAATTCTTGGAAATTGTATCAGTGTTCAATTGTCGTCAAAAAATATTTTAAGATATATTTATTATACATATTGCCATTTATATGAAATATTATCAAATTTGTTTAAATCAATCCTCTCACTAGTAGAATATCACGGAAATAGATAAGATAGCATTTAAGATATTACAAATTGATATTAATAAGCTTATTAATGATTATTTTATTTTTTTTTTTCACCTCATTATTACATTCTCTTTGTAAAAGTTAATAATTACATATCTTAAAGGTGACTTGCTAGACGGATATTTAGCTAATTTCAACTGGACAAGACAGACGGTCAGAGTGAAATGGTCATAGTGGTCAAATTCTAGTATAGTATATATATGTGTATATGCTCTCCACGGATTGCTAAATCCGATTTATTAGTTTCGTTAGATTTATCCCAAACTGTTGCTGATAGAATAAAATCATTCTTGAGACTAACTAATGAAAATGGACTATACAGAGAGACGACACACATACACACATACACATATATATATATCACAGTGTGGTCAGTGTGCAGTTCGTCTTGTCCTTTTTGTTGAGATGAAATTAACAAAATTACGGAATATGGGATTATAGATTAAATTATTAATATTATATTGGTGGTGTATGACTTTCTATGAATGATATGTTTATATTATAATTGAGATGGAGTTGATTATATTCGGAAAAGGGAGAAAGAGTTATTTTAAATTTTATCATTAGGAAATTTACTTTAGCATAAATAAGAAAAGTATGCTATGATAATGAAGTATTGTTAGTAATGAAAAAGTTTAGAAATGAGTTTTGATTTTTTTGTGTTACATTGAATTGACATGATTTTCAAATGGTATGGAACATTACGTAAATAACATGTACTATCCAAAATTTAATTATATTTTTGTTAGGATTTTATTTCATAGTTTGTAAAGGTAAAGGTTAATGAATGATAACAAATATAAAATGTGAGGAGGTCCAATAGTACGTAACTTTAGTTTGATTTTTTCTTATTTTTTCATAAAATTTTCCGAACAGAGACATTAATTGTGTGATAGTTTCATCGTTTATAATTAAGTGATCGGTGTGTCAATGAGGGAATAGCCGCTTGAATGGATTATTACAGTGCAAAGGATGGAGATATGGCGGGGAAGAAAAGGGAGAGAGAGAGAGGAAGAGAAGGTCCTGCACACTGTTTACTAGCAGTCATTCATGCAAATATGAGAGGTGAAGCATCGAAATTTGGATCTTGGTTAGATGTATCTATCGATAGGCTAATTGAAAAACGGATGAAGAAGCAGAGAAGATGAAAGGAGTGTGCGGGGGGAGAGAGGGTACGAATGAGAGAGGAAAGGTGAGAGATTGAAGAGTGAGGGGAGTGTGTTGGAAGGAGGATGAGAAGGAATTGCAGGGAAAGATGACGGGATAGAGATGAAGAGGAGGAGTGGTGAACTGACAGATAGGGCCTTCTACATCCCTCAAGTAGCAAATAACCGGGCCTTTTCTTCCTTCCATCCGCTCATAATCACCACATATGTCTGCTTATGTGTGCAAAAGTCTCCGTTTATCTCTCTGTGTCTGTGCAAAATACCGCACTCAAAGATCTGCATTTAACTTAAGTAGTGAATATATGATCTCTATAAGAACATCTATATATATGCATACATTTTATATTTAAGCATTCAACATAACTTCTACAAAGCATATATATAGCACGGAATATATATACTCGATACTAATATGTATATATTAACATTTTATATTATGTATGCTATAGTATAATATACATTTGTGTGTATGTTTGCGTATTTATATTGTCACTGTGTGTGTATGTGTGTGTGTGTGTGTGTGTGTGTGTG